TGCTGTGCAAGATTACGGAGCTGTATCGTGAGAAGAGGACTGTCTGAGTTTAGCACAAAGCTTCGTTCATCGACCGCAGCTGGCAAGACATGTTTGTCAGCCAAGGTCATGCTGCATGCTTCGCTGTTCGGCACGGCATGGAGGCACGAGGCATGGTGCATGCTCGTCACGGCATCGAGGGCGGTGGCATGGGAGTAGTCGCCGGCAGCCCGCGTACTGTGGTGTGGTTGGCCCAGTCCAGCACCTCGAAGCAGCTGGAATTCGCGCCTCTCGGAGTGCAAGGACAGCGTTGAGGCCTTGCTTCCTTGAGCTGCTCCTTCACCAAGGAGAAAGAAGTCCTGCTCCTTGACCAGGCCTTGATGAAGGAGAAAGGGGGTTGGGGCGCAGTGTCAATATACCTCCACTCGAATTCTCCAAAGTGGAGAGGGTCACCACGATCTTCAGGGACGAATCCAACCTAATAGCCGTGATTGATGATGCTTGTACGATGGGTGCTTCAGATGCCTGGCGATGGAGGTGGACCCTTTCATGCCAATCGCAAGGTATAAGGTGCAAGGTGCAAGGTGCAAGGCGCATGAGCAACTGCTGGGGCCTTGCTTTCCTGTTTCGGTCCTTGGTCTTTCTTGTCTTGTCGCTCGGGTGTCGTCCGAAAGTCTGTGTTTCGACGAAGTGACCGGACGTCTGACGGAAGTTTCTTCCAGAAAGGCCATCGAGTGCAATGTTCGGCTGCCCCGGTCAAATACGGGTGATGATCAAATTGAGCCATGTAGAGATGGTTTGGGGGGCAAGGCCTGAGTAATTCTCCTGTAGCGCTTATCTGGGTGGCCAGGCACCCGAGCGAGTGTAGAAAAAAATTACCTAGGTACTTAGGCCACTGGAGTAGGTAGGAACCTTGGGTACCTGCCTACCAGGTACCTTACCTACCTTTAAGGTACCTTAGATGCTTACCTAGGTACTTACCTTAAGGGTGCCTGCCTACCTAGGTACGGGAGAGGTGCCTACAGGGAGGTGCCTACGGAGAGGTGCCTACGGAGAGATAGGGCTAGGGTAGCCACCCATCCTGCTCACCAAAAATTGCTTGTTGCTGCCTTCACAAGTGCAATCAATGGCTGGCTGGGCCAGTGCAAAGCCTTGAGCTGTCGGTCGGCCAAGTGTCTCAGGGGCCACGCAGCGGTGGACGAATAAAGCTGCTTCTGTTGTAGTGAGGCTGCCGATGACATACCTGTTGGAGGGGGTTGGGCCGTCGGACGATCAGTCTCGTCTGAGCTGAGTGTTGTCTGGAATTCTGCACCTGCTGCAGCGGACAGCGGACACGCAAGGCACGTCACTGAGCGCCGGGTGCTGGGGCGATGGGCACTGGATCAGGGACCGCACGCCCGTCGAAACAGCCCGTCTCGGAAAGGCAAGACGTGGGCCGCCACAGCTACCTAAGGTGCCTACCTACCGACCTAAGGTAGGTAGGTAGGGAGGTGCGACCCCTAACGCCTCTGAGCTGGTGTCTCTCCTCGCTAAAAAGTCCGCCGGCGTGCCAAATCACCACTCAACCCCCCCCCCCACGGCCCTCCAGGCCAGGGGCAGCCTGCCCAAGCGATAGTATCCCGTGAGGCCTGGTTGAAACCTTATACCACAGGCACGTGACCATCTGGCGCCAACCAGTGACGGCCACTGGCCAGCAAGTACAACAGTGAGCGACAGTGACGAAAGTCTGGACACTGGACATGCCGTCCGCTGGTGGAGTGTCATGAATCCGGCGCCACCCCTTTGATTGCGCTAATGCAATTGGGGAGGCGCCCCCGGCGGCCCCTCCACGCCCAACTGCGGTACTTCAGGCCGTGCGTCGAGGTACATTTGCTGGCGCTGGACCAACCACACAACCGACAAGTCATCCCTGAGCCCCCCCTCCCCGTTCCCTACAGGCTGGCACCTTGGCACTTGGCACCTCCATTCGCCCTCGTCCTTGGTCGGAGAGCCGCTGTGCTGCCCGCTCTCTTCAAGCTTGCAGTAGGGGGGTTGAGCGAGAGCGAAATCCCATCATTCATCCCAAGGAGCCCCCAAGGAAACCCAAGAACCAAAGACCCCAGCGGAGCCCGCAACTCAGAGACGCCGACCATTTCGACGATCGAACGGCGCCCTCTCTTATCTCTCTTTCTCTCTCTCTGGATTCCACCTTCGATACCCCGATATTCCGACATCCCATCCTCTCGCTCTCTCTCCACGTCTCTATCGGCTCTGTCTGTCCGTCTTTGTGCGATCGCCCACCGCGGCGCGGCCACCCGCTTGTCGCCCCCCCCCATACACGTCTTGCCTCGTTGGATGTACCGATCCCCCGACGACGGCCAACCTGTGATCTGACGGCCCTCGACGGCGCCTATGCCTCACAACCGCTCTTGACCCCGATGCGAGTTCACAGACCATTTTTCAACCCATCGATCACAATATACGCCCGGTGTTCTTTGCTTTGGGGGGGTTTCGCTGGCGTTCTGGCCTGTCCCACGGCCCTCTTGCTTTTCTAGATGATGGTGCGTCCCCCCCCCCCCCGTTG